AATACCTGTCAAGAGCTAAAATGGTCATATGAAAATAAATTATCTACCAACAAATAGCAGGCACACTGCACATGGATATTGTTGGTAGCGAATGAAGCACATGCGAGGAGCTGAAAGCATAAACAGTTGACATGCGATATTGCATGCTCGGCCGCACAAAGGCCCGACACTTCATTGATCTTCGCACTTTACAGCTGACGGCTGGAAGTGATCGCATATTGTACACCATATTCATAAATTGGAATAGCAATATAAATGGTAATTTAATATGGAAATTGCTATGAAATTATGCCGAGTGCCTTTGAAGTTATGATAGATTCCAAAAAAAAGTATACAATTTGTATTTAAATGCCTTAAGTCCCGCTAAGTAAAACACCTATAAAGTAATTAAGACTTTATAGCAAAACAATTTATTAATGTCTTCCCATTTCCCTTTTACTCCTAGGTATGTATTGCCTTTCTACCACTTAAGTATTAATCGTTAACTAGGGAGGTGTAAACAACGCATGCGTTCTCGACATTCACTTTAGTGTTTCAGAATTAGGTAATTCATAAACAATCTACTATATAAAAATAAGTCGGGTTTTCCTCCCTGACGCTATAACTCCAGAACGCACGAACCGATTTCCACGGTTTTGCATTCGTTGGAAAGGTCTCGGGCTCCGTGAGGTTTATAGCAAAGAAAATTCAGGAAAAATTTCAACAGAAAAGCGGGAAGGGGGTAAAACGGGATCCACACCTACGAAGTCGCGGGCGGCCGCTAGTCAATTTATATAATTTACTAGCTGTCCCGGCGAACTTCGTACCGCCTTAGCGTAGAGATTTTCTTAATATTTTTTTCCGTAAGAACCATCCTTGGTCTTCCACAAACATTTAAAAAAAAGAATTATCGAAATCGGTTCAGCCGTTCACACGTGATGCCGTGACAACGCGAAACGGGTTTCATTTTTATATATATAAAGATAAACATCGAAGGTGCTTTCGCCTAGTGTCAGCGCATAATGCACATCGTGAAAACAAATGACAGTCATCGCAATCATCCGAACGAGTTACAAGTTCCAAAGATCATCAAGCCCAGATTTTCCGGCGATTACCATAACAATGTCAGAATTTTTCCATTTTTCCAGTTCCTACCTTTTTTATCTCGTTCGCCACGCAAATACAGTTTATTTCCGGCTGTAACAACCTTAATTGCTTCCGCTCCGTATCCAATTAGGCACATTCGTAAATTTTGTAATAGGACGCGTTTAGGGTCCAGTTTGGAAGTGATAGGTTGGATTTGCGAAGCAAATGACCTATGGGAGAGGTCAAACGGGAATTCTGAGTGGTTTTTTGGAAAATTAAAAGCGGAAGAGTTAGTTGTTTCATTTTCACGGCACAAATATGTAAAGTGTAATATGGTGCTATTATTTTAACAATTTGTTATGAAAAATGTTCACACAATATCTACAAATGCTGCATCATACAACACTGTCTGACCATCTCTCTTTGAGTTGTGTGGTTTGAGTTTGAGAATTTTTAAGCACTGTGCACTTAAAAATAAACCTTAATAAAAATTCTACAATCCTAGTAATATTTTAATTCCTCTGCAAAAACAAATTTCAAAGTCAATTCGTAACTTTACATAAACGTTCCAACGAAAGCTACGAATTTTAAGCCGGAAAGAGAGTCGCTTTCCTTAACAATTCCTTATTTAAATCCTCCTAATTAAAATATTCATAACACATCACAATACCACCGTGAGAGTTGGGCTCACGTTTGCACCGTTTTTAATTTTCGTCCGGGCCCATTGAGATTTTTTTTTTTCACCCGGTCCTTTTCTGCGGGATGAATGCGATTTACCAAGGACGATACTCTTTTGAAAATTAGCCCCACGTCCTTTTTAACTGAAATATAAATCAAGTTTTTGTTCAACCACGCCTGTTGTAACCATTCGCGTTTCTGCTGGAGAAATGTTATTTTTGCCTGTGAAAAGCTGGGCATGTAATATTTTTCGTCTCTAATTGAATGATGTATAAATTGGGAGATTATGTATCTTTCCTTAACATTTCATTCATAATTTCTGTCCTCCATCACGGTAATACTATCTGTACAGTATTCCAACTTGGCCATATTTTTGAAATAAATGTCATCAGCCGCGCGGTACGTCACCGTATGACAACATGCGATAGGGCTGCTCACCTACAGTACCCATTTTAATTACATCTGCGTACTTAGAATTTGTATCTAGTTTTGTGATTGTAATTTTTTTTGAGACAAACAAAATACTTTGTGAATGGAATAGGATAAAAATGCGTGTTGTTTTGTGATTAGTAGATTTAATTTTAAAAACTACTAAAATAATTTTGAAAATTTGCTAAACATAATAACCTGTTACTTTAATTTCAGGCGGGCAAAGTCGTGGTGGTATAAAACCAGCTTTTGCCCACGACTAAACTTGTATAATCATTTTTGATAGTTAATGACTAGTTTTTGACCAAATTGACCGTAAATGACGGTCAGTCAAATTCAATCACTAGTCATTTTCAACACTAGGCCACCGACGTCTGTTCAGCACATTCGTGACACCCCCGACTTTTGCATGTCGAGCGCATACCGAGATTTGAATTTCGAAGGAAAGCTCGCGTTTCGTCCGTTTATATGAAGTTACAATACTGTATGATATTATTACCGTGCCTCCATTCATTGTGATTTTGTAATCTGAAATATTATGTTTAAGATCAATTACATTCAACAGACACAGCTTACTTTAATGCTGTTTTTATCAAAAGTAGAAAAACAATGTTTTAAGTTTTATTCATCATAGCGTGTTAAGACTCTCTATAGGTACTCCATCCATCTATCGGTCGTGTATTCGATTCCCAGTGCGTAAACCCTCCTCGTACAAACTAATCCATTTAAGAAAGTTTTGCTCCATGAAATCTAATGCCTAGTTAATGTTGTCAGTTGTGTTAGTTCTACTGATAAGATAAAAAAGAGTAAAACCTTATCAGTATTCTGCGGTTCACCCTCTATAATATTATTTCTCTCGCATTTACGACATTTTATTTTATCTCGTCAACCATAATACCTCTCACGTGCTAGTCTAGAAACGCTTCGATAAAAACTAATCCATAAAAAATAGGTATCTTCCTTGTCACGAAAGAGCTTTGTATCGGCACGACCTAATATCAATAATGCTGCAAAAATATTCTTAAAATGTTAGGCTCAAAATACAGGATAAAGCTTCAAGAATTTATACGACGAGCGATCTATAGAACGAGTACACGAGTAATATACAGTCTCACAACCTGGTTGCAACAAAATCTATTAACAATTAATGCATCTAAAACTTCATACATTATTTTTAAAGCGAAGAATAAGCACATACCTCCATTCAACTCATTGACAATCTTCACTACATCATTACAAGAAAAAAAACACGAAAAATATTTAGGTCTTTATTTAGATAGCCACTTAACATGGAACGTTCATATTGACCATATTAAGAAAAAAATTTCCGCATTAATGGCTTCTTTACGCCCCATAGTACGATGCATACCCCGCAAATCAAGATACAATATATACAACTCACTTGTAAAATCCCACCTAATATACCTTGTTGAAATCTGGGGTAGTGCTTCAAAAACAAAAATATCCGAACTCCAAGTCTTACAAAATAAAATCATTAAATTATTATTTCATTATCCGTACCTCACATCCACTTCCAAGATTTATAGCGAAACACAAATTATGAACATTAAAAAATTATTTATGTATTATACCTGCCTGCTCATACGCAACGTATTGAATAAAACCATCCATACGTCGCTCACTCTGATGACGCGGTCAGAACAGGTTCCGAAGCGCACGCGCCGTCGCGTCGCGCTAGCTATTTGGTTCTACCCAAGATACGCACAAATTACGGCAAGCGAATGCTTAACCCCTAGGGGTTCGCAATTCGACGGCAGGGGGTTCGCGACAAGATTAACGTAATGGTGGCAGAATTAAGGTTGCGTGTTCACCTATGTTTTTACAAATAAATGATTTGATTTGATTTGAAATATTGTCCAAAATTACTCGTAAAATTGACACCATTTGCAACAAGAAACAGGCGTACACATCACATATTAAAATACATTTCTTTGGCATTTTGTTTGGTACCTTTTATTGAAATTAAAATCTTATTTTTCTTCTTTTGACTATTGTCAATTTTATTATTTTCTTTGGGGGCAGGGGGGATTTTATTAACTAGAAGGGGTTCGCTGTCACTTGAAAACTTTAACTGGCGTTCGTGGGGCCGAAAGTTTGGGAAACTCTGACTAACCAAACAATTTTCGGGTTTGACACATTTATCCACCCTGTATATTTTGCCTGTGAAGCTAAATTTAATATTATATTCCCTACTTTGCCTTGTTATCTTAACAGAAGGGAACTAAGAACATTGATGTACGAGTTGCTTTAAAATGAAAAATGTTCTCGTTAATAGATATTTGTGATTGATGAGCCAATTAACCGTTCATTTACTTCGAAAGTTTCTTAAACATTTTGAACGTAGGTATTAGCATTTTACTTATAAATAGCTAAAATGTTTGCTCATTCCATTTTATCAAAAGCTTGGAGTAAACGTTGAAATTGGAAGGGAAAAGTAAGTAATTCTTAGAATATATTACTGGTACGTTTTATCGTAAAATATTGAGATTGATTCCACCTTCAATAAGCGTGAAAAATGTTCCTCGGCTTGTATTATTATTTGCTTAGGTTGTTTACGTTATAATTTTAACATGTTGTAACCGTAAAACTACTTATTGCTCCATATCGCCAGTTTGGATTACACAAAGATAATGTAATTAGTGTATGGAAGAAGAAGTTCCAATATACCTACTATCAACTTAAACAAAAGTACAGTTGATAGCACATCCGACTACAAAATAGTGAATCACATAAGATGCCACAGTGCATAGCTTGAGCTGGTGTCGTCTATACAATATTAGTGATATAAAAATTTAAGGAAACCTCACCTTGAGCAGGCGCGTAGATATTCAAGTACAAACAATCTTCCGACTGGTTCGTCAGAAACGGCAGTATCCTCTTCAAGTACTCCAACCTTCCTTTTGATATCCTCTTCAGCACTGCCGTCTCATTCCTTATATCTGGAAGAACTTGTGGGCACACTGGGCTGAATTCTTCAGCTATTTTCACTCCGGACCACTGTGCGCCTGATACAGGCGGCATAAAGCGTAATGAACCCACTGGGGGCGATGCGTATGGGACACCTCGGAAGACTTCTACTGGTTCTAGAAATCTCGATTCTGGTGTGACAATGAAACCTCTGATGTCCCCATATTTGGTTCTGACTACTCTGGAACTAATGAACTGCTGCTGCTGCTTCTCGTCCATCGTTGTCTCGCCGCTGACCATCTTGGAAGTGAGCGCGGGAAGCGTGATGAAGTGAACTATCATCAGTATTAACATCTTTTCGCTTCCAGCGCCAACGCTCGAGGTGTTGTCCGTTGTTGCTCGATGCTATAAGTCGACCATTTTGTGAGGGAGGTCTCTTTTGGCGGACCATTTACTGGACTATCTGAAACAAAAGAATTCGATTTGAATTTTTTTTAATGTATGTTCATTGTGGATGACATTTATTGATTAGCATTTTGTCTGGTACTTCTTACATGTGATCATCGAGACAGTTAGTGGTCTCAAGTACTTGACCTTGGCTGTGTGTGTAAATTGTGTATACTGTACGTATATATGAATGTGAATGTGCACACTGTACATGAATAACTTCAGCCATCATAGTCTCCTTTCACTTTTCACCTAAATGTGACACTAAAAACCTCTTCCAGTGGACCCATTTCCTAATACAACAAAAAAATATCGGAAATATTTGAACTTTGAATGTTTTGACACGTTTTATCAAACAACTGATATAGTCACGCAACTCATACATTATCTGTATTCGGTTCGCGAGCGCTGCTCACTCCGCACGCTCGTCCAATCAAAACTCGAGTGTTATTATATTCGTCTTAATGTCGCCTTTTGTTGCGTCACGAGGTGATTAACTATGCGCTGGAGGATTCTTGCTAATTTGAGATAGGGGAGATGATTATGGTATTGTTTTAACTACATGTGTAGTTATAGGTAGTAGGTAGATACCTATTTAAGGTCACCTCCAAAAGACAATAGTAATTTAATGAATAATTTACAAGAAACATGAATTGTTGATAACCTTCACTTCAATTCAACTGGCATATTACGAAATAAGTAGGTATCTAGCATTTATAAAGCTTGCATTTTTGTATAGATATTTGCTGAAATACAATGTATTTTTATACCCTCTCTTCTTTAGGTAATGTTTTTTTCTCATTAGGGAGTTGACCTCATTAATTGCGAGTAAACAAAAAGGGTACTTAAATACATTCGGATAAAAAAAGTAAATGACTTACATAGCAACTTTTACAAGTTTTGTATTGGGTACATAGTAGATTTGTTGCGGAGAAAAACTCTGGAGCCGGTTTTGTAAAGTTGTATTGTTACTACACGCAGTAGATGTTGCTTGTACATTGCTTGGTTCGAGAGGAAGTGAAGTGTAAAATGGTCGCACTCGTGCACAGCATGGACGGACGCGCGCAGCGTCATCTATGATTCCTTAGATAAATCATTTCGTAAACTGTTAACGTACTGTTAGTTCGGTAAAGCAAGGATGAATCTTAGATGGCGCTTTACAAACATTCGTTTTATAATTATATGGGTTTGGAACAAGATTATTAAAATATACATAAAGTACACAAAGTATCTAAGGTATTTTTCAGTTGACACAATAGCAACATTATAGCCCAATTCAAAGTTTCACGGACCATAACATTCTACAATTGTAGAAGTTTCGGGCAACCATTTTAGACTTTACACATCTGACTATGTTAGTGGCCCATTCTGTAACTTCCCACGACTTAGGGAGCTCACAGACGAGCGACAGTATACCGGTGACTGCTTGCGACTAAGTTGGTGACGATCGGCGACAGTCGCCGACGATAGGACGGTATTCAAATTAGACGACTGTCGCCGATGCAGCGCGAATACCGCCGATAGTGGTCGACAGTCGCCGATGCATCGCGACTCTCGAAGACGGGTAGTCAGTAACGTATAGTAGAGTCATAGAGTGTCAACCTGTCATGACAGCGAAAGGTGCGAGTCGCTGAGAGTCGCTGACGGTCGCCTACCACAATCGCAAGCAGTCGCCGACACAATGTTGCTCGTCTGTGAGCTCTCTTAATGTGCTCCACACCAATAAAATGTTCGGACGATCACAAGAGATATCTCAGACCATACCAAGTTATTGGTGCAATAAATCTATGCAGATAAACACACAAGTAAACATATAGTTTTCCTCGTAAATGTCCTTTACAAAGGCGTCGCTTCCTTCTGGCCTCGAGGCAGGACATAAAACGTGGAGATAGGGATTTTGTGAATATTTATGGGTATGGATGGACGGCAAACAAGTGTATTGAGCGTTCGTTGTGTAATCAGGGTCGCGGTTTAAACTTACAGAAGAATAACGACGCCGTAAGCAATACATACATACGTCGTATCTATTCTTTCTAATGGGAGTAAAAATAAATTTCGTAATTTGAAAGTTGGAAAAAGTGGAGTTTCCTAAATTGTTAAGACTAGAAATGATGTAATCTTCATAATAATTCAATATGAAACACAAATAACATGTTGAAGATTTAATTGCTCTAAGGGCTCTTTCCCACAGCAATCCAGTTTTTCGGGAACTAGTAATGCAGGGTCGTTGAAATTAGAATTCCGAATTCTAGCGATTCGGTTTTTTGCGGGACACTGCAAACGGAATGTTCGTATGAATGTTAATATTAAAATATGTACCTATTAATACTAAACCGGATCCTGCAAAAAATAGTTCCTGCCAAAAACGGAATGTCTCCGTAGATAGAACCCTTAAAAATCCTTTTAGTTTTTTTCCGTTATTTCTTGTATTGAAATTGCTTTTAAGTTAGCAAGTCATACTATTGTAACTTAACGTTAAAATTATATTGTCAAGTAAACTAAAAAATAAAGAAAAATCAAGTTCGGCTCATTACCTTAATTCGACATTAAAACTCGGCAGTTACACGACCTTCACATTACACGCCAAAGTTCGGCCGTAACAAATTCTAAACTAATTTCGTTCATTACCGGAACAAGTAATTACTTCCAATTAGGTACTTTTCTTTACAAGGACACAGTGTAGATCTAAGGCCCGCCATACACGGACAGCTTGAAGCAGCTAGTATCCGACAGCTTCAAGCTGCAACTGCATAGCAAACTACAGTTCACTACGTACACACATACACGGAACCGCTCGAGCAGTTACAACTGTTTCCGTAGTTTGCTATGCAGTCGCAGCTTGAAGCTGCCGACACTAACTGCTTCAAGCTGTCCGTGTATAGCAGGCCTAACAGCTATTCCATTATGTAAGTCGTAAACATAACATTTATTTAGGTTCGACTCAGAATTAATGTCGCCATAATGCTAGATGACAAAAAATCAATTATTAAAATTTGTCCGTCAGACAGATAATTAAAAAAATAATAGACGTATTTACGTATTTTTTATTACCTTCAATAATTAAATAATAACAGTGCTACATCGAGTTGAAATAGCGCGTTACGTCACGCCTATGTAGATTGTAGATGTTATACTTAGAAGTGACGTCACGCGACATTTAATTTTCAACTCAATACTGTAATTATTCGATTATGAAAAAAAATTAAAAATACGTGTCCAATATTTTTTTTATTATCTGTCTGACGGACTAAATACTTAGAATTTCGATTTCATTACCCAGTCATCATCCCGAATGATCGAATTTTTTTTTTAAACGTAAGCAGTGGCGAGGCGTCTATTGGTAAGGCTCGTTGTACACGGTCTTAAGCAACTAGTATCGACAGCTTCAAGCATCGACTGCATAGCAAACTACTGTTTTAAACATACACACATACACTGAACCGCTTGAGCAGTTGTGACTTCAAGTAAGAGTGGTCCGTATTATGGTGATCACTGGCTAACCGCTCGAGCTGTCCGTGTATGGTGGGCCTAAGACGTATAGCTTTAGCATTATTAAATGATCTAAGTATCTTATTACGATGCATAACCTAGCAACGATGAGAATAAAGATTTTTGTCAATGTCATGAAGCCTAAAGTCGCTGACCACTGTCTTGGGATAATACATTTACATTCCAGAAAAAAGAGTACTGAAAAAACGATTCATTCATTATGTATTCAATTTAATATTATTATACAATGTTGAAACTACTCGTATCTACAATTTGTCGGCACTATTGACAAATTCTCAGTGATATTAGTTTCAATACATGTTTCTAATCGTTTATCTTCAAAGATACACGTGTACTGGCTTTTCTATCCTTACAAAGGCTCCCCTAAATTATAGTAATCTGTTTAACTAAGACCTGTCAAGGACGAATTGCCGGCTATTTAACATTTTAAATAAAGGGGAGCATGTTAAGGTTGAGAGTAAGTTTTGTTTATATCAATGAACTCTTTATCTGTGGATTTAATTTAGAAGTCAATAAAAAGTTTAAATTATTTATTGATTTAGTGTAAAATACCAAAACGAGTCCATAGATTATAGTGAGAAAGTAATGGAACTGTAGTTTAAGGGCCCTTACCTACGGCAATTGTGTGAACACACAAGTGCGTGTTTAAAATTCAAATTTCAAGCTCGAACGGATCGATTTTTTGCGGGACACCGCAAACGAGATGTTCATTAGTAAAACTACTACTAAATGGAACCTGCAAAAAACAGTACCTGTTTCAGTTCCGAAAAACGGGATGTCTTCAGCCCTTTAGATCAGTCATAGTTACGTTTTTTGTTTACATTTGGTTTTTCGCGTTAACAAGGCAGGTATTTGACCACAATCGCACCTGGTGTTAAGTGGGATGCAGTTTAGGATGGTACATAACTGCCCTGTAAGTGCCTCTTCACTCTTGCCTTGAAAAGGCCCGGATAATAGTCTTCGGGATCTTTCCCGACAGCATCTTGATCTTAGAATGACATGTTGATCTTAGAACAACTTTTTTCTACTTCGTTTTTCGCATAGAACCATGTTTATTCTAAAAATCTGTTCCCATTTTTAACCTCTTAAAATGGTATTTGCAAAGCAAATACTTTTTGTATATTCAGAACTAAAATATCACACGTTCTAAACTAGTGTAGTGAAAATATCACGTTCCACGTCCCGCGATATCACCAGTCATCTGAATCTGGGACAGTAAGGCTATGGCCACACTAATGGTAACGTTTGATATGCGATTTTTTCCTAAAGGCATCACTTTGACCAATCGTTTTTTGCAGTTCACAAAAATCCGTAGATGGTTTATGCTTTTAGTTGTTTCCTCGTAACTCTATTCATTTAAAATCTCACTTAACACCAGGTGCGATTGCGGTCAAATACCTGCCTTGTTATGCATAAAAATAAAAATTCCTTGGACATTTTACACTACGCTTCTAGTCTCAAACTAAGCAAAGCTTGTACTATGGGTACTAGACAACGGATATAAACATACTTAAATACTTGTTTTTGTAAATACATACATATTATACATAGTAACACCCAGACCCATCACAGAAATTAAAATTCATCATTTCAATTTCTGCCCGGCCGGGAATCGAAACCGGGACCTCTCGGCATAGTAGTCCGTTCCGTACCACTACACCAAACGGTCACACATAAATCACAAATGCTGTTAGTGTAGCTTCAGCCTTACCATTTAGGCAAGCTCTATTTACATTAGCTGTGCGGTAATTACACACGTATTTTGCCTCATTTGAATACTAATCTCGAATACTCAGTGTGTGCTTGTTTTCGAGGGTCATATTATTAGTACTATACTTACGTGTTTCTTGTGATTATTAATTGTTCTAGAAAATGAATTCATTCTGCTTAATTTCGGTATTTTAGTAGCAGATATTATGTTACTTGTGTTCTAAATTTTCTATGTTCTTTTTGTGTTGTGGTTGGTCCAAATATTGTCATCGTCATCAACTCATCACAGGTTGAGAGTCATACTTGAGTGTCAATTAGTAACATGCATGAGCCATATTTTGAGATTGAAAATCGGAGCCTAATAAAATAACAAATAGGTTAAGGTGTTACGTTATTGGACTACGACGCCAAGATTAAATATCAATGTTATAAATACTTAGCCTCGCAATCACCTTTTATTTCCAAACACATTCCCCCGGATACGGCCTGAGTCAAGGTCCGAGCCTACCGTGGCGCCCTCAGGCCGCGTCCGTAGTCCCCTCGATCGGGCCCACTAGAGTGAGCCCGCCGCAGGCTGGACTTTGGTCCAACACCGCGGTGGGCAACTCTAGTTGGATTCGCCACTGATCGGGCGCCTTATGCGCTCGATACGGTTCGATCGCGAACTCGGTCTGCGACCGACGCGGACGAGCCACACTCGGCCTCGTCGGCACGCGCACCGACGATCGCCAAACGGCTTGAGTACCTTTTTTGTACTCGCTACTCTGCCAGGTGAAGCTGGAAAAG